TTTTTTTTTCATGTAAATTTGAAAGAAAAAAAATCAAACGACTCGACTGGCATTCAAATGTAAACGCCAGAAATCGCTGAATAGTGGGGACGAAACGCACGTGAGGAGAAGGCGTTATACTGCGCTACGTACGACGTCTGAAGGTACTTGTCCCGTTTTGGTGTCGGCGACATCAAAGCTTGGCAATACCTCCCTGTATCATATCTTACCGACAGCTTCCTTCAATAGTGCCATCTGTCCGATGTTCGGGGAAATAATAAAAATGAAAACGACTACTGGTAACAATTTTTATTCTATCCTCTGATCAGAATGTTCCAATTCACTTTACTATTGTACTGAAGTCAACATAACATTTTCCTTCGATTTTAGGATTGGGGCCACCGGGGGAGTAATAGTATATTTCGTAACAAGTGCGGAAAAGAGATTTTTGACGTGTGAGAGGTTTATAACATGACTTGAAGGCGAGTGGTATAATCCCACATGCCGGAAACAACATTATGCACGAGCTGCGAACAATATTTTTTTTCGCAATGTGCGCAATGTGGAAAGTCACTTTTTAGGCACGAGCATTCCTTTGTACGAATCATTAAGATGCGGACTTATCGTCGCTTTTTAAATATAAATTCCTCGTCGTGGATATTGTCCATTATATATCGTCTAGGAGTTATCGTTTGTTTAACCCCATGATGGAAAAACCGATAACCATCATCACTCGGTCTATTTTCGATTATTCCTTTCCCGATCATTCCTGGACGCATTAATACGTCAAGATCGTCTGGCATCTCGACAAATTCGTCCGATATCGTTGAAGCTGTCGAAGTGTTTGTTGATCCAGTGTTTATATTCTTCATGATTTTTTCCAGGATACATCTCATTAGGACATTCTTGGGAAATACCGCTCTCGCAAATTTTTCATAATTAAGTAAATGCGTTTCCTCCGTGGATTTTGATTTATATGAGCTAAACTGGTTTTTGTAATTATTTATCAACAATGATGAGTGTTGCTCCTGAAATAGAAATTTTCAAAGTAAATTGCTATTTTCTACACTCGCCTGTCGGTGTAATCTTGGGAAGAGGGTTCGAATAATACCAGAGGAATATTTTAAATACACGCAATATTTCTAATAATGTATAGACACATCCTTACTTCGTCAGTTGAAACATCACTGCAATCGGAATAGAATTCCTGTCTTGTTCGGAATAGTTCAACAATTTGTTTATTATCGGGCACTTGACAGCCGTACGCCTGAAACAATAATCTATTCATACGCATAATCTGCGAGATATACAATGTAATTAGATTACCTCGAGAATACTCGAACAGATCTGTGCTTCATCCATCAGCAGCTGAAACAAGAAAAAGTAACTTGACAAAACCACGCATGGTTCGAATTTTTTTGCATTCCACTCCGATTTTTATTTCACTCTTTCACAAGGCCCAATAAATTAAAATGGCGTAATGAGTTAAACAAGTATTACTCCCAAAAACGACGCCAGTCTCGCCCTTCATTTAACAAATTACCCAATTAATCTGTCTTACCGTTCACTAAACCCAAAATAACGTTCATACGAATGTCAGAAACAAGTCCTCTATAAAAAAAAAATGACAATTAATTCTTGGGGGACTAAAACAATGCCAGAGGAATATTCACACTAAATAATTTTCGATTGAAGGGTTATCCTGGATGAAAATAACGAGAACTGTCCCTCGCCGGTCTATCCAAAGAGGATTGACTGAAGTAGAGACTCAGTTCTGGGGGTTTGAGTGACCTCATCGGCATCGTAGTACCTCACCCCAAGGGAGAGAGAGGGCTCCACTGAACCTCTATCTTAGTCCATCCTCTTTGGGTTTATCGATCCACGTGACAAGATCATAAAATCTCTGATTGATGGATGAGATCGTATCCAACCGAATCCACGGAAAAAATTTAATTGTTCCCCCAACTCCGCACGAAGAAATCACCTTTTTACGACATGAATTACTCACCAACCCATAAAAAAAATTAATCAAGAATTAATTCGTTTTAATATTTTCAGTAGATAATTTTTATTTCATCATGTTTTTTACAATATGTTGTACTTATATGTATTCGTTGTTTTCAGATTTCCTTCAGTGAATAACTGTCACGTAAATTAATACATAAATGATTGATATCTTTGAATGTAAAAATGAAGAATCTGAGTTTCACATCGTATTTCCAGTGATGAATGAAATACTTTATTGAAAAAAAAAAATGATCGAGTGATTGTGGTATAAATGCTCGAGAATGACGGAAAATCCCGCTGCTAATCAAATACCTACGAGTAAAATAGAAAAAAAATATTAATGAGTTCAATCTTCGTTCGGATACTAAACACTACAATCAGTCTTTAATGGTGTTAAAACAGGGTATCACGATCTTGAGGCCAATGAGATGCAATCTGTGATTATTTTTGGTAATTAAAACTATTCGGTAATTAATACTCAAAAAATTGTCTATGGTACATTTATATATAATCGTAAATATGAGAATCGTTTATGTGGGAATTTGTACGCTTTTGGAAGAGGAAAAATCATTGTTTCTTTTTGAATATAAAATCATCATCATCGATGTTGTCCATTAAATACCGCCTGGATGTTATGGTTTGTTTAGCACCGCGATGGGCAAATCGATATACATCATCAACGGGCTTATCCTCAACGATACCTTTACCCATCATTCCGGGGCGAAGTAAAACATCGGGATCGTCTGGCATTTCCACATATTCGATACTGTTGGCCTTACCATCTGAATCATGATCCTTACCGGAGGTGGAATGGGTGGATGAACCCAGGTTCATGGATTCCAGTTGCTTTCCCAAGATTGTTCTCATCAGGACGTTCTTGGAGAACACTTCTTTCGCAAGTCTTTGACATTTTTGGCCACCCCTTGCCCCTGTGAATTTCGACTTTTCTGAGCTGAATTTTTCCTTCTGAATTTTTGCTTTGAAGAGCTCTTCGATTGAGTTGTTGTCAGGTACCTCACATCCGTAGGCCTCGAGAATGAAAAATTTTATTTGTAATTACATCCCCCTTTTTATTGCAATTGAAAATTGGGGAGTTTTCAATTAAATTCATAATTATGATAATTACCTCAAGGACATTGACGGAAATATGTGCTTCATCCAATGAACTCTCATTAGAGTGGTATGCTAAGCGTTCTTCAGGGGAGATAGGATCATCGTCGTACATCACCAACTAATAATGCAACAAATAATGCAACAATGAATAATTATTATGCTCTGCACCCTGAGAGGGAAATGATTCATCCGAGTTTTAATCAATTCAGGAGTTAATCAATTTAATCCGGGGAATTAAATAGTTCACAGAGAAGGTACGATGAATTTTATTCCAAATGATGCCTCAATTCTTCTACTCACATGGGCATTTTTTATTGGTTTTGGAGTTCGTATGGTGTTTTTCGTGCTTTCTTTCTTAACGCACAAATCACGTTGAAGGGAAACCTTTATTATAGATGAATCATTAGTCTTCGGTAATTTTGTTCTCTCCCTAATGGAATCACGTGTATTCATTGTTAATACTTGTCTTCGTCAGTCGCTGAAAAGTTGATAAAATGGACAAATGAAAATATCCAGTTAATTTATTTTCCAGAATTTTCGAAGAATTCATTGTTTGAATCTAAAATTCTCGCGAATCACTAAAAATCACTTGAGTAACTAACCTATAAATTAGAGAGCTCGATGTCGATGGAAGAAATAAGTTACATTTGCCATGTTAATATATTAATTAGGAGAAAACCCAGACATGTCGAATGCAAATAATTATGCCCATCTATTAGGGGTAAGTGAATTTCTTGAAGATAAAAAAATTAACTTCGCAGACGTACCTTTTTTCTGAGTGGATCCACCGGTTTTATTTCGAAACGCAAAAAAAAGTCGATCTTTCCCCAAACATAAGTAGATGTTTACATTTTAGTATTAGAAATCCAGACAAGATATTCGTAACGAGAGAGACGGGTTTCAATCATCAGAAGAATAAAATTCTACTCACAAAGTCTTTGTTGCTATTAGCCAACTTTGCGAAAGTCTTTTGTCATTTGCTATTTCAAGAGCAGAAGTGGAAACAAAATTTTTTTGTGTTTGACAGACACGATTTTGGTTTTTACAGAATTTTACAAAATGACAGAAGGGGAATATTTTATTCATCCGTTGATTTCAATGAATCAGAGTGACTCCAAGCAGCTGACTAGAGTAAAAAGGATAACGTCGGTTGTCGACCCCCACTCTCATTTCGAAAACGACGTAATTACCGTAATACAACACTTAGTAATTTTGAGCAAAAATGATTTTTCCTCGGTACCTTCATCCCATACAATTTCCACTTGCAACTGGACCTTAAGGTGCAAAAAGAGAAAAAGAAAAAGGAAATGAATACATGAATACAATAACTTTTTACTTTCACATATCTTTTTTTACATCAAAAAATAAATATGCAAAATAAATGATGACAATGGAAACTGGAAAGATCGCGGATGAATATCTCGACGGTCATAGAAATTGTAGAATTGTTGGGGTCATAATGGGCAGCTTGAGGATTTTTCGTCAAGTATTTGTTTTCCTTAATAAAACGAAGATATTGTAGGCTGTACGCACCAGCTGCATAGAAGAGCAATTGAAAATGTTTATTACAATATGTTGACACTTGAACAGCTTGACGAGAATTACCCGATAAAACAGATGTCGATTCACGTCGCAGAGCCCATATGCTTTGAATTTATAATTGTGTCGTGATCTCATCATTATGAAGAAAACAATATGTTTGAATTTTTTCTTCTGATCTGGCCACTGACAAGTGTAGATCGTGTGATATATATTTTGCGTCTACAATTATTAATTCAATTAATCAATCATTATTTCATTCTTTCGCGATTTATCAGGGAAAAGTGATACCAACCCAGTGAGAAATATTCTCAGCAGAGTTGCAGTAAATTAGCGGTTGCAAAATCATTGCGATAAAGTGAATTACCAATATAACAGCGTCAGCCAATTCAAAGGTTGACAATTTCTGCAACAGACAGTCATAAATATGATTAATATTACGGCGCATCTATATTTGAGACTAATCCATTAATTTTTACCGATTCGAAGGCAATAACACAAGCACACAGATTCGCACTGGAGCATATTATCATTAAGAGTATCACTGGATTGAAGACTTCTTCAATCATTCGACAAGACCTGAAAATAATTCATACTCATCCATCCCTATCATCCAAAAATCTCTAGCAACGCGAATTTAATTATTCTTGCATTCCATTAAATTCTGTATTCACTTGAGTAATTCGCTGTGTTGTTTTCCGATATCATTCAATTTTTTAAGTAACGGTCTATTGAATTTGTTGTCATCATCCCATTCTGTCACCTCTGCGAATTTTTTACCTGTAACCTTTGAGAAAACAGAAAGACAACGAATTTTATCCAACCGCGAGGATAATGAAGAAAATTTACCTGTAATAGTAAAGATAGAATTGTAGTCGATTGGAAAAAAAGAATGTCACCACTGGTATATTGAATGATAAGGAAGAAGACACTGATAACTTCAAAGGCTGTGCACGTGATGTACATTAATATATTATCGACCCTGAATGGATATCGTATTGGCAAGAGTCTCCTTTCGAAATCAAAAGTGTACACATCATCATCAGTGGTGCAGAATGTACCGACCAGTCGTCTGTTTCAAAAATAAATTTTCAGTTCTCGTGGATTTTTCCGTTACGAGTAATTAACAAGTGGAGGAATATTTATAAAAAAATTACACAAGCGGCACTACGAGATAGAGACCCCCAATGACAAAGATTAAAATAGCATAAAATGCAGTGAAGAAAATACTCCTTTCAGCAGTGACGAAAATGTTATCATCGATGTCGTCCTTCAATTCTCTGGTCCATAAAATTTGTATTTTTTTCAGTAATCCTTTTATTTTCTTCGATGATACACACAATACTACTCCCTATATTTTCAAAAGCATCAGTAAAATGTTATCAACAATATAACTAAATTAATCAGTCATCTCATCCTGTAAGTTCATAATGAATACGTACTTCGACCCACGCAAGAACTGCAGATAAAATCATTGGCATTGATTCTAGTGCCTTATACATATCACGATCCCATTCATGAATGAAATTATTAATCAGACCTAGTAAGCAGAAAAAACTAATTGCCGAAATTGTCAGGAAAATAATTGCACTTTGGTATGTTTTTTCGTGTGTATCTAGAAAAACTTCGTAAAGGTCCGATACTGCCGCTTTTCGCAGAAGAATATTTGACACGATGAACATTCTGTTGAAATTTATTTTTGATCGACGATCCTCTTCGGGACACTTTCCTCGCAGATCTGTCCATTTCTTGGAGACATAAATTTGGAAAAGGTTTAACATTTTCCAGTAGCCGTGCATATCTCGGAAGGAGTAATCATTCCAATAAGAACTTGTCAGTTCAATTGAGGTATTATCTCTACACAACGCAATACTTTCACTTGATCGTTATTATCAGATTTTTTTAAAGATTTTTGGCGATTTATTATCCGAATTTTTCAATAACCTTCATTATGTTATGTAATTACAAGTGTATTATATTATTTATTTACAAGTTTCAGTTATTCTTTTGCACCGGTATTCGTTTTTTATTGGTACGCGTGACTTACAACACTTCGAATATTGTACTCTGCAATCCACGTAATTGTCCAACTCTGCGTAGGATATTGTGCATATATCGACCCATACCCCCACGCCCAGCTCATTCTGAAGTCTAATGTTTAAAAAAATTGATCAGAAATTTTGAACTCAATTGATAAAAAACGAGAGAATTTTATTTCAATAATTAGATCTCTGGCGATTAATTTCCAAATGTGCGAATGAAGTCTCAAGTTCGAATAAAAAAAAATATATATAGAGGATATGACCACATTGCCATGGAAAACAATGTCAAGATTTATCAGCTATTTTTTTATTTATGAATGAAGCTAATATTGGAATCGGAGGCATGTGGTGTTTCCCTTGGTTTTCCAGTTTCAGGGATGTACTGACGAATTATAAGTGAATATTGACCGAAATAATAGTGCGCATGATGAAATAGTTCCAAGACTTTCTAGTGTTCTAATAAAAAATGTCTGATAATTATGAGGATAAAAATTGGAAGGAAAGATACATGAAGATCGTTGATAATTCGATTTTCGGAATCATTGCGATAACTTCCGCGTTTAATCGCGAAGCTTAGAAAAGCGATCGAATGTGCACCGGAAGAGTAATAATTTTGCATTAGACCGCACTCCGATATTCGCGATTAGAATCTAATTGTAGTCATCCATTTGTTGATAAGATCCATAATCTGCACTCAATAATCTACAAACTTCGAATTTATAGCTGTGTTGGGACATAATTATTAGCAACATAACATTTTCCTTCAATTTTTAATTTCAGTTCAAACTCTTGCACTTGCACATCGTTCCGGCGATCAAACTCGCCTAGGGATATAGTATCGGGAAAATGAGCGTTTCAGTCATAAACGTAATTGCTTTCCCATTATGAAATGGACTTCGGGTTATGACTTCGCAGAAAAAAGAACTCTGTTAGAATTCTCGAGAATTTTCACTATTGAAAAATTTGATATATATTGAATCGGGAAAAATTTCACTTTTGACTTCAAGTCAAAAGGCGACGGAACTCCCCTTATTATTTTCCAATTTTTTTTTAATCCATTCAGAAGATTGTTGCAAATTTCTTAGCAACAAAATCTATACGCAGGTCCCTATAAGGGCATTTCCCACTTTTTTAATATCATGAGGAAATTCCAAGCCGTATGAATCAACTGTAAAGGAGAAAATGCTCAGCATAATTCATATATAAATGTAACAATCAGAATTGAATACCTGAGTCAGTAAATGGTGATTTACTTTGAACAATCCATATTGTCCGAATTTATAATTATGTTGACTTCTCAGCATTATAAGTAGCACGATTTTCTTGAACTTTTCCGTCTGCTCTGGCCACTGACACATGTAAATCGATGTGGCAATATTTTTTGTCTACAAAGATTATTCGAATAAGCGACTCCATTTTTTATCCTTTCATTTATCAATGGAAATTACCGACCCGGTGGGAAATATTCTCTGCTGAATTACAGTATATAAATGGCTGCAAGACGATAGCGGCGACTTGTGTCAGTAATATCACAATATTCCCCAATTGCAGCGAAGATAATTCCTGGGGAGAACAACGAATTGATGAAATTAATTTCTGCCTTTGGAAATCGTTGAAATGAATTTTTTTTTTGACCGTCATATTCAAATCTTTTCAGCTTGTCGGAACGCATAATATTATAATGATAATGATTCACCAATTGCAGAGAAATCACGGAAACACATAGATTTGCACTTGTGAATAGTGTCATCAAAAAAATAAGTGGATTGAAAATTTCTTCAATTCTCCGGCAGTATCTGCAAAAAAACATGAGTTTTGAGGGTTTTGTAAAAATTTCGCATGTTGGTGATAAGCAGTATTGTTCGCTTAACCAGTCCCGTAAAATTGGATATTTACAAGAGCAATTCGCAATGCTGTTCTCCAATATGATGCAATTGTCTCCAAACACGTCGGTCAACCATGTTACCTTTAGCGTACACTGCAACTTCGCCAAATTTTTTACCTACAGTCTTCGAGGAAATGAATAAAGCATTTAAAAATTTGAAAACGAAAGGACTGACTGAGAATTTACCTGCAATAATAAACATACAATTGTCGTTGACTGATGGAATAGACTGTCGACACCGAGATAAGTCATTGCGAGGAATATTGTACAGCTGACTTCGAAAATTGCGCACAGGACGTACTTTAGGTCTGTATCAATTTTAAATGGATATCGCACTGGCAACAGTACCACTTCGGAATCAAAGTCTGTTCCCTTATCACCAGTTGCGAAATTGTGAATTCTATGCCTGTAGGAGAGTGAATTTCAGGTTTTTCCGATGTCATAATTATATTTTTGAATTGCACTTGAAATTACCCAATCGGCAATATCAGGTGGAGAGCACTTAAAGTGAAGATTAAAATGGCGTAAAAAATAGTAAAAGAAATACTTCTTCTGGCGGATCTAATGAAAGCATCACCAACTCCCACTCTTAATTCCCTCATCCATGAAATTTTCAGGTCTTCCAGTAAATCTTTGATTTTTTTCGTCGAATTGTGCATCAGTACTCCCTGCGTTGAATTGATCATGAAAATTACATCAACCATTTGGCATTCTATTTAATAGAAAATGAGAAATACATACCGCGCACCATCCTAGAGTATTCGTAAAAATCATTGACGTGATTTTCAGGGTTCTATGGGGGTGACGTTCCCACTGGTGCACGGCATTATGAATCAAACTCAAAATATTGAATAACACTGCTACAAAAGTTAATGAGAAGACGGCTTCATTTTTTTTTTCGCTGACTGGTGTTTTGTCGAAAACACTGTGAATGCCGGATAGTCCTAATGTGCGTAGGAGAGTATCAGGTACTCTGAACATTTCGTTGAATCCAATTTTTGATAGGTAATCGTTGTCACTGAATACTGAAAATTTCTTGAGCAATTCTTTACTTTTTCCAAACGCCCCTTTTGCGAGCGCAGTCTTCCTCGGCATTTTCAAATAGTTATCAATTAAAAATAAATTAATACAAACTATTTTGCTGTAATTATTTCAAATTATATAAAATTATCAACAAAATCGCCGTTTCTGCGGCGAACGTTCAAGTGACTGCTCGCAAATATCCTTACAAGCTCGAAATTCAATGATTATTATAGTCATCCACCATTTTGTAATTTTACAAAATAATTCCCAGGTGGCAAGACCAATCGGTTTCATATTCCATTTTTTATGAGAATTTTAAGAGCTATTTTTTTAAGCCATCAATATTTCTTTTCGATTATCTAGAATCCACCGATCGATGTGGAAAAATTATTGTTGAGTTCACATACTCATCTATAATTGTACCTAAATATCAGGGGACACCTGCAATTTTGGTGGAGGCAAAAGAAGTGGATAATATCTTGACAAATAATTTTATTGCTGACATATCCACTGTTTACATATCAATTGCACAGCCCTGCCGTGCAAATTCCATAATAAAGGAATTATGAATCTATAATTAAATTGTTGTTAATGATATTTTATAACCGTCCAGGCTTCTCGAAGAAATGTGCGTGTGTACACGCAATTTTTCAAGTGTCTGTGTCGTTTGTAATTTAAATTTGCGAAGGGTGTGCACGAGGATCGTCTTGAGAACGACAAGAGCGAATTTATTTCCCGGACAACTTCTAAAACCTCCGCTGAAGGGGATGAAGGCGTAAGGATGACGATTTTTTGAATTCTCCGGAGAGAACCGATCGGGATCAAATTTTTCGGGATCCGTCCAGTAGTCGGGATTTCTGTGAAGTGCGTATAACAAGACGAAGAGCGAGCAGTCCTTCGGAACCGTACACGTAGCTAGAAAAAAAAATTATATTACACTGGTAATTAATTTCTATTATCGAAACGTGAGAATTTCCTTCAAAAGTCTGAAAAGAATTTCCTTCGAAAGTCTGAAACCTCGAGAGATTACAGATATTCCATTCGACCAATTATCAATTAAATTAATGGAACAAGATGATTAAACAAAGGATTATATTCAAAGTACTAATCATGGTTAAATAGTACTTACCAAGTTTTAGTTCGCCCGTGGTTTTTCGACCTAGGACAGAACCCACAGGGAACATCCTTATTGTTTCCCTGATAATCATCTCGAGATATTTCAAATTGTTCAATTCCGTCTCTGTCACGTCATGATGACCCACTGCATTATTTATCTCTTCTCGTGCTTTTTCCTCGAATAGAATAAATCGGGAAATGATAATTCTTGGAATATTTTATGTACTCACTGAACGAATGCGTAACAGCCCATTAAATTTTATTTTTATCCAGGGGTCGAGTCGCTTGATGTCATGATAAAGTGAAATTTAAGTCTCCAGATTATCACGATGTTAATTTCAATGAGCAGTTTTATGATTCCGACACATTGAAATAACTTTTTCAATACGCATCAATAAATTTAATTACCTGAACCTCAGGGTGCATCGCCAACATTAAAAGTAGAAAGCATCCAGTGCCCACCAGTGTGTCATGTGCCTAATAAGAATAATAAAATATGTGAAATGAGATAATCCGAGGGATTTTATTAGAAGCTTCAGGTTCTACGGTGAACGCACTCCAATGTAAATTGTAATAATCTCGTCACGAATTTCCTCGTTCGTCCATTCGTTGGTCTTCTCCACGTGATCAATTATGAAATCGAATATTGACCAGCTATCATCTCTCACATCTCTATTGATCTCTCTGAATTTTTCCCTTTTCAGTCTAACTTCCTAAAAATTAACGAAGTCACGCGGAATTGTGGAAACAGGTGGTCCGATTTTTTTACAGAGGTACTCACGTTATCAATAAATGTATGTGCGGCCTTGACAATTCGTCGACATCTTCGCCCACTTGGAGTGAGGAAGAACATGAAATCAGGCCAGAGCCATGGTTTCATGAATCGTTCGAATGTTATGTGTAAAGCCCTTCAAAAAATATAAAATAATTATCTGAAATTCGTTTTTATAAAAAGAATCATGAAATATTGTTAACTTACTCATCAGCTAGTGCAAAGAAAGGACTGACGTTTCCGCTTTGCGCAGTTCCCGGCAGTCCATAAACAGTCTCTAATTATAAAAATTGATGAGTGCAAGAGAAAATAAATGATGGCCTATGAATTCGTTTTAATTTTCGAATTATTACCGTACCAAAAACAATATCGCCGATGCATGGTTCAAAAAAATCTTGCATTTCGAACTCCTGTTGATTCAGTTTAGTCGACAGATTTTCCCCGAATATGCGAGATTGTTTATTGAATTGTTCAATGTACATTTTCATCAGAAAGTTATTATTGATAAAATTCAGAAACAATTTTTTGTGAGCTCTGTATTTCGGACCTGAAAATCATGATTAGTTATGAATCATGATCAATTTTGTTATTAATTGTTTTACGATTTTTTTTACGTATTTACCGTACGAATTGATAAGACCATTGCGAACGGCAAGGCGCATCAACTCATAGAAATCATCTTTTTTTGATGCCTTTGGACTCAATAACAATATCTGAGAGATTGATAAAGGAATCAGAATAAAATAATGATCAGAGGTGGCAATTGATATTTTTTTTTTAGAGAAAAATATTTCAAGATAAAAATACAGAGACTGATTGAACCTCAAGATCACGGGGATCAGCTACGATGAGTTTTAGATTAAGTCCCATCCAGAATGGATATGTCGCAGCTTTCACTTGTCGACTGATATTTGTCAACGTGTACACCGTTTCTGATAAACGAAAAAAAAAACAATGTTAAATATTTCGAAGAGAAAATGGAATTTCACTTTTCCAATGTTCAAAAATATCTCAACAGCGCGCATGAAATTTTTAATCGAGATTATAAACTCAAATTTGATTATTGAATTTGAAGATTACTGTCGGATTCCATCAATCTCAGAGCATTTCCAAAAACAGGGATTGTTTTAGGTCCAGGTAGGTTCTGCGCAAATTTCACCATCACTGATCTACGGTGTAAGTACTCCCGAATTTCCTTGCGCCATTGTAAAAAAAATACGCAGACAGTGAGCACCAGAAGAAGAACTGAAATAATTGACGATGAAAACAGTAAGAATTTTGAAAGAGAAAAATTCTTACCCGTCCCAAGAGAAATTGAGGGAAATAATTCGAGCCTGTGATTTATCGAGAGCATCCTTGTAAACTAATTGATGAAGTCCGAGTGACTTCATGGATTCGTTGAAAGCAACTGCTGTGCATTATTGTCGAATCTTCTGATCCAAAGTTTATAGTCCCATTTAAATGAGATACCTAAACGATTTTTCAATGGTCCATGATTTTTATAATGAGACGATTCATTTTTACGGCCCATTTTTCACGTCCGGGTGATTTCACGTGCACAAAAAAAAACCGTAAATTCTGCAAATGATTCTCCAAAGTTCAAATTATCTCGGCAATATTATTCAATTTCTCATCACAACGCAGGTAATCCCTTACATTCGACTTAATTCAATTGCGCTGAGATGTTGAGTTGACGAAAAATAAGACAATTTAAAAAATTTGTAGACTGACATGAAATTTCATACAGCCATTAATAAAAATGCATTCAATTACCGAGAAATGTATGTACAAGTAGAAATTTATTCATAAAACAATAACAAAAAATAATCTATGGCCTAATTAATGTCACAATAATTTTCAGGATAAAATGCTTTCTTCTGCGTTTACATCCCCGTCTTTCGAAAGGTTCAACTGTTGCTTTCTCAGGTGGAGTTCTTCCCTCCTGACCTCCAACATCTGCCTTTGGATTTCGAGTTCATTCAGTCTTATGGCGGTCATTTCTTCATGTCTCCTTTCATTATTCCTCTCCATCTGAGTAAAATATGTTCCTAATCGCGACGTCAATCGGTCGAGAGCTTTCTGTATAATTTTGGAATTTAAATCTCCTGAGGATTTATCATCCATTTGACTCCCCAACGAAGCATTATCCTCAGCCTGTGTAACTTTCTCAATATTTTCTGTTGTCTCAGGATTATCATCAGTTAGGGGTTTAGTCACTCGAGCAATTGGCCCAAAAATGTCATCCAATTCCTCTTTATGCTCGAAGTACAAACTTCTTCGTAGTTTTGTGGGTATTCTACCGCTTGTTTTTTCCATCATAGCTTTATGCCTCTTGTACTTCCTCTCCAAAACCCTCCACTTATTCTCAGCTTTCTGAGTTGAGTAGTCGTGTCCTAGGATACGCAATTCACAAGATATCTTTTCAAACATGTCCTTCAGACTCTTCATAGGAGGTCTTCCAACTCCGTTTATGTATTTTTTGTAGAGCTTTATGAGGCATCTCGTAGCTTCGGGGGTCCATAAGTTGATGCAGCACCCAGTGCTCGAGGTTGTGCCATGCTGAAGACTAGACTCTTCAACCCCGACTGGATATTCCTCGTGAATTAAATCTGGATCATCCGCTATTTCGTCTTTTACTTCTACATTGAGGAAATTATTCGATACGTCTGGAATACCAAAATGACACCTCTCAAAATATTACAGCTAAAATTATTTCAAATGACGAATCGAGTCCACAGAAATTCTCAGGCAGTACTCAGTTAATAATAATATAATATTATAAAAATAATATAATGATACCCTAATATCTCGACTTGTAACATTTTTCGGGGTAATGTTTTCGCAAAATAATATATGCACATTATAATATTTTGGCTTGAAATATTTTTTTTGAATATTTTCAGGGGTAATATTAATATTGAATCGAGTTTAGAGCGGTCTCCGGATTTTCGATATGGTTAAAAATTATTTTCTTGGTTATAATGAACATTTTCCAAAACGAATTCCCATCATATTCTATTGAATTATATTATATTAATTATATTTTATATGGGCGATTTAATATTTTCGTAACCGTTGATTACTCACTAGTCAACCTTGAACGTTTGGCCATTGTCGGCACTTGGATATTTTTTCGCAGCCAACTTAGGTTACCTCAAAACCGTTACGATACTTGCGTTTTACTGGTTGTGAACGCGTTCAATGACATTACCTTTCATGTCCGCGAAGTACTGCCATCTATTCATGACTTTATAATAAAAAAAAAAAAAAATAGAATTATTTCAAAAGGATTTCCACCCGAATCTGCGAACCTAAAGTTCTAAAAACCATAGTTTATTCCAGTTTTATTGCAAAATGGTTTAAAGCGAGAGAAAATAATTATGGGAATGGGATTCGCAAATTTTTTTTCTGCACTAGGTAAAATAACTCCAGAGAAATAATAATAATGCTGATTAGATCGTCGGGTTTGAGCAAGTAGTGGATGTTTACAGGGTATTTAAAAAAATTGGAATGCAAGTGTCGAATTGATCAATTTAATTATTTCAATCTTGTTTTCACATCCTAATCTTAACAAATCTATTAATTACATCGCTACGAAGGTATACAATTCTCATACGCTCAACTGCGAACATCGATAATTCATTAAAAAATTGAAAGAGATAACCGGATGTTGAATTCTACCGCCAAGTGATATAACTACCAATTCCATACAATTATTTTCTTAATATCTTAAAGATAAATGGAAAAAAAATAAAAATTGCTTATATTGAATAATGAAAACGAATGTAAATAAATAATGAACAATGACCACCAGGCAAAAAATACCCATAGGCTCTATCAATTGCCTGTAGATGATTTCCTTTTGCTGCTTCTACAAAATATTTTATAAAAATTCTAATAAAATAAAAATATCGTGAACATTTTGAAATAAGGTGTTTATGGGTGAAAAATTCACGGTATGCAGAGGAAAATTGTTCATTGCATTTTTTTTTCATTATGTATATATGGTGTTATCGGAAAATTCAATTTTTTCCGTACCACTTCGCAGTAGAATTACTTTATAGTGGAGTGAAAGTTAGTTTTTCTCCTCGTTGAGATTTTCGGAAAAGGACCCACCGAAGAGGAAAATCAACATACAGTGCTTCATTACCGAATTGATCATTGAATTATTCCTACCTATCGTATTGAAATTCTAATAAATTAATCTCAACAAGTTTGCCCACTGGAGCATTGAGAAGGATACGGCAGGTAGTTGGAAAATTGAGCGAAAATTCAATCACTAAATTCTTACTATTGAATTCATCAGATCTTTGGATTTTCACGAGTGGATCTTTGGGCCGGGGGTTGATAGATAGGTTGGGCACTTCTTTGAGGTCCTCTCTTCCGATATCCTTTTCCCCCAGGTGGTCCAGCAGATCCTCCACCACCTCTCCGAAATTCCGCTCCTCCAGAAAAATTGTCATGACGTTGGGATCGGTTAGGGCGCTCATGCCTCTGGTGTTCCCCAAAACTCGGGGCTAAGTCCTCGGTTATGGGCAGACAGTCAACTTGCAGAACTTCTTCGTAATTATTGAAGTCCTTGAATTGTACTACACAAGTTGTTGCTGATACAGCTGTGACTTCAGCATTGTAGTACTGATTGTCCTCCCAGTATTTAGCCAGACACTGATCTCCCTTTTTCCAGACCCATGGGCCATTCTCACACCTGTTGTTCTCATTTCCCCTTGAATTGTTATCGTATCTATTTTGATTTCTGTTATTTCTGTTGTCTGAGGTATTTGCGTTGTAGTTCTTATGGCCGGTGTCTTGATGCCCTCGATTATATCGTCCATGCGATGATTGGAATTGGGAATCATAGGTCTGACGATTGAAAGATTCGGGTTCGTTGTGAATCTGGGATTGATTGTGATTTCTAAAAGTCTTGGGTGCATTGGAAGATTCGGGATTCCTTCTGTTTGTTTGGTAGGAGTTCTTGGGAAATGGAGGCTTAGGGTTGTGCTCTTGGGGGTGGTACTGATCCTGGGATCTTTGGAAGCGAGGAGGACGGGTTTGATGGGAATTGTTCGTGTTGTAGTTCTCGTTGTTACGTTTAGAGAATCGTGAGTCATCAGAGTGACGAGGAGGAGCTTGGTAGCTGCCCCGACCTGACCTTTGGCCCCTGGAATTAATTTCAAAAAATATTTCTTTCCACCTATACCTGTTTTTAATATTATTTTTTTTTAGCCAGCTCCTGCGTTGCAAATTTATTCATTTATCAAATAACAAATGGTATTATTTATCGTGATATTTACCTTCCACCCCTGGAGGAATGTCCATCATACCCCCTCCCCTCGAATCTCTCCACATGATTATCAAGTCTGGAACTGTACCCATCACTCGACTGATTATTCACAGCATCAACTGTCTCAGACTGTGCAGGCAATTTGTCTTCCAAAAAATCAAACAATGAGACCTTTCCACTGCTAGGTTTAGTCTCTTCATTTTTTTTTTCGAATCTTTTACCCCGAGGCTCCCTAGGCTCTCGACCCTCTCGATTTCCATTTCCCCTATTTTCATTCCTCTGGAGGGATTTTAATGCGCGATCTGTATTATTGCGATTGATTTTTAGTGCATGCTCAGCCTGTTCAATAGAAAAACCCTGATCAACGATTTTCTGGACGCTGTGATCGAGCAATTGCTTAGTCCCACCCCCGAAAACCTTCTTGCTGCCCTGTTTAGCTGCTTCAGCAACAGCTGCTTGCCTTTGAGCCTCGAATTCACTGTTGTCTTTTGGGGCTGCATCTTTATCAGCTAATGCTTTAAAATTTCGATCCTGCTCGGTGATTTTCACAATTTTTTTTCCAAAAGGAATCCAGGGAGGTGGGCCACCCTCATCTGCAGATCTCATTCTACTGTGAACTGCTAATTTACGGTTTAATTCCCATTTTTCTATTAATGCTGGAACTTTTCCCCCTAGTACTGATGAGATATTGAAGGGTTTTAGGAGAATTATTCCGTGAGATGTGGGTGCTCCTCCGGATTTCAGGAGGATTTTTGTTCCTGGGGGGGTGTTCAGGGTAATTGAGGGCAATTGGTCGAGTTCGACTGCTTGATAATTATTTTTTCCATCTGTGAGGTAAAGCCTTAACATACGCGGAGCTCCACGAGACTCTTCGTTAGACTTGGGGGCTGACACATTTCTAAGTTTTTGAATCTGTAGAACTAAGTTTCCGAGATTTATATCTTTTGTGCCACTGCCGATCTCTCGCAGATCCATCTGGGGGTTGAAAGGTAGAGTTTTAAATAAAAGGGTTGAGCTAGATTTTTTTTTGGAGATATGGAACGTGGCACGGACTTTTGGAGAGAGATGGAAGGGACTTTCCACGTAATGAATATGAACGCATTTTTCTACTTGGACTTGGAGAATTTTCAGGATGGCACGAGGAGAAAAAAAAAGGGAACTTAAAGACGTCTGAGGTGAGATAGCCAAAAAATTTTCAGCAAACTTGATGAAATCGAATATTTACGATAATTAGTGGGGTGACAGGACTGTGAAAGGATAAATAATAAAATGAAATTTATCAATGAGAGTTTTACTCACATCAAGAGCACGTTTTATCAGTTTTTGAATATCCTTTACAGTTCCAGAGTCACTGACAAGATTAAAACCTTGTTCAGACAGGTACCTAATAAAAATTGAAGTCATGATATGAATTGTTTGAACAAAAAATGCAATTCAATCCAATCAATTCTTCTAGGTTCACTCTACTCACCAGCCCTGCTCTTGAAGTTTCTCCATATTTTATAAATTGTAAATGACTTGAAGTAATAATTAAATTAATGTTGCCAGTCAGTTTTTGTATAAATCACTGAATTTTAACCCGTTTATGATGATTTTTTCAACAAATTAATGCACACCGCACTCACTACCGAAAAATCCATTTGTCACCTGGTGTTCATTTTACACTGTTTATTGACAATCAAAATGAGGGAGAAAAAGTCATGACTGCAGATAATTGTGTGATTGTTTTTCGAGGGAATTATACAGGATCAATTGGCGATATTAATCAGTAATTGAATTATCGAACCGCACCTTTCGGCTCTAGTTTCATCGGCGACCATCTTGAATTTGATGGATTGCCGAATACGATGGGTTATGGGTCGTTCACACTGAAAAACTCGCAAAATATTTTATATCATAATAAAAATGATAACGCATTACCGCAAATATAGACAATTATTTTATTATTCATAAAGAATTATTAATTATGCTTGTCTAAATGATTGCCAAATGATACAATTTGAGTTTCATTACAAAATTCATTATTTCCCTGTTAATTATCTGCGCAGGCGCCAGGTCTATGCATCCACAAGATGGCGCCAGCTCGCGCTCCGCTGGCCTTTCAGTAGCCATTTTTGGTGCTTGGACTTGGTCGATCAATTGCCTCGTGAAGTTATTTGTCGAGTGAAGATAAGTTCTCACATAACCTACAAGTAATAAAAGTGGAAAAGAAAGTGTGTGCCAACCGGAGACATCAGAAAATGTCAAGTGTTTATCTCAAATTACCCAAGATGGCGAGCTGTGGACATGAAGCGTTGGCGTTCAAGAGTGAGCGTTACATATTTATATTTTTTTCATATTATTACGGTAATTCCTCGTCATTCAAGGATCAATAGCGATAGTTCTAGTCAAATCACGGTTTTGGAATTGAAGGGCTACTCTGTGATTCCAATTTTCTCTCTAACCTACAAAACCTGATTCACAAAAATCGTGTTGTATATGAGGTTCGAGATCTTTGGTATTTCCGCGTGTTTATTTGTGGTTTATTTTTCGGATTTCTTAATGAGGTAGTGAAGATTCGATAGAAAAAATTGAACACACCAGAGGAATGGTGATTAGTGCCGGTATTAATTACGAACTGCGGTCTTTGATACATTGTCGATTGAATTTCTACACTGGCCCATTGTGTCCTCCAAAAAGAACTCCTCTATTGGCGCCTAAAAAGTTGAACAGCATGGATCATATACTTTGTGGCAGCAAGCCTCGTTATTCATTTTGACTGTCGGGATAAGCTCAATTAAACGTGACGACAAAAAGGGAGAATATTCGGTAAAATATATTTGAGTTCAACGCGACAGATTCCTCGTACGACGTGAGTGGTCTCATTACTGTCTCAAATTATCTTAAATTCTGAATCAAAAGGTCTAGGTGTGTCCTTGGCACGGAGACAATTTTTATTAACGCAGATAAAACAAGATTTTTTTCTTAGAAAATGTAAAATGCTGCAGTAGAAAAACAATTGAACTGGGAAAACATTCTTCACACAAAAAAATCGTTTTCATATATCTAGAATCTTATTTTCTGAAATGAAGAATTTTTTTTCTTTGCAAAATTCTACCATTTCCATATTTAATTTTAATTTTCAATGCATGTGACACAAAACTGCTTATCACAGGGGATTACCCGGTTTATAGATTCTCCCATCCCTGATTTATCCCTTATTAGCCCTTCCACGATGCTTATCGCCTTCACCCTATCTTCATCATCGATTTTAACGTTTATTAATTCCATAAATGGTACACCGGAAGTCAGGCTTTCAGGAGGAATTAAATATAAGCTAAATTCGCTGTTTTTCATTGGATAAAAATACAAGAGAGGCTATCGTAAAAAAAGAAATTCGAGTTTCAAGAACTTTCAGGATTCAGAGGACATTAGTCGGATTTTCTGGTTTCTTCAAGTTTTCGTATTCTATCCCTCAAACTCTCACCAAAAGATATAAAAATTTAATTCCTCGAGGAATAGAATGACGTGACGGTACAAACCCGAGGGCGTTTCTAACTGCTTCTTTTAAATTCACCCCTCCAGTATAATTTTTTCAGTCTCGCTACTATCCTCCATCAACTCTCATCTTCTTTATTCATACATCTCCTCATTCAACGACGTATGGGAAGGGAAGCATTTTTCTTTAAAAATCTTTCAAGCAATTCTGAAATAGGTAATCTGAATACTCCGACATGTGACAACAAGTACTTGGTAAAAATTCCGCCCCAAGTATTTGACCGTAATTATTCATAATCTCTCTTCAATTATCATCTTCATCAATTTCTGTGGTATTTTCTTCACGCGTGTACGTATCATCTTCTCTAGAGCTCACGTAATTTTTCGTGAATTTTTCTCTCCGTGTGCGTCCACTGTACAGGGTTGATTTTGAGGGTTGGTTGTATCACGAAGAGATGAAGGGGAATGTAGAAAGTGGCAGGTCATAGAAATGGAGCACAACTGATTGTACAAAATGAGGAAAAGGAAAATCTCCTGGAACTGTCTTCCCGCAAGATGGAGGCTGAAATTCCGGGGTGTAGGAGGAAGTTGGTGAGGATGGGGTGGAATAGGATGATGAAGAAAAAAAAAAGAGGCAAGAAAATGGGGGAGGATGGCAGCTGGTGCGAGAAGGAGAACCAAGACCAGATTAGGGGGAGAAGCTAGTGAGATAAGGGCGCAATCTCTGGGTTTGGAGACGCGCGGAAGGGGTTGAACGCGTTGCCCTGGCAACTCCAGAGGGGATGCAGCAACCGAGAGCAGTATAGATCGCTATCCAACCACCGCCTCCATCTTTACATTGTCCCCGTGCCCCGCGGCCCTCACCATCACCCCATGCTGAATTCTGATTCCAGGAGGAGAGTAATACGACGATGGTAGTTTGGTAGTTGCTGGAGAGGGAAAGGAGAAAGCACAAGATGGCTTTATTACTACCAACGAAAGAGAGGTCTCTGGTATTCATCGTCAACGTTAATTCCCCTATTTTGAAATGGCATTCTAAAATTCTCCATGTCACCGTTGAGTTTATCTAGGCGTATTATATCTATCGTAAATCGTGAATGGTTCGGTGGAATTTTCATAAATTTCCGGCATTGAAATGGATAATTTTAGGGGCAACTTTGTAGGTATTGAATAATGCTTTCTTCATCAGAATCTAGTGATTCAAGGGGGGGCATTCCCTCTCTTTGGAGCACTCGGCTGTGGTAAATGTTCACCCGCGATTCGAGCTCTCGCAAATTTCTCTGTCGAGGCACAACTTGGCGCAACACCGGAGATGGAGACCCAGACGTAATTTCCGGTTTCGGGAGACACACCCGCTCGTACTCGAGCCTCTGATCCTGTTCTATGGGCTCTGCCTCTTGTCGGTTGTTATATATGTATAACGAGTGTTGCTTCTCCACTTGGTGGGGTGGGTGGGAAAATGATGATCATTCAGTCAAAGACTTTGAGATAACTCAGATTTCGCTTCGCGAGTTGTAATGAAGGAATCGGGAGACGCGGGGTTTATACGTTTCGAGGGATTCTCGGGGATGGGATTTTCTATCTGTTTCTCGATTGTTTCGGTTTTGTGCATTGGGGTAGCTACAAGTTTCAAGGGAGATTAACTCTTTCATTGTTGCTTTCTTTTATGGTTGTTAGGAGTTGTGAAAATTTATGCTGATACCATTCATTCTCGCTCTTTTTATTCCTGAATTTATTTTGAAAATGAATTAATTTTCTTGAATCAATCGTATTGTCGTGCGCCGAAAACGTTCGGTACCGATTGTAGGAAAAATTGACGATTTTCCTTAATTGGGGCGATAAAATTACGTTTCTATACATTACACACGAGTACATGAATTGAAAACAAATTGTTGAATTTAAAGCGTGTGCGATATGCATTGGATCGGCGCGTGCCGTTGCGAAGTCATTGATAGCCGAAGGTGTGATGGCACACAACTCTTTTTAGGGGGCACATGATGGATGTGTGATACTTCTGAATGAACCCCTTTGAGCCTCAATAGTAGGGGGTGATGTAAAGTATCCACGGGATTTAAAGCGCGTCATTCCGAGGAGGCGGAGTGGGAAAGCAGTTTATTTTATATTTTTTTTACGATTTAAAGTCTGAATTTCACAATTGTGGGGCTTTCCATCGTGTGAAAAAAAATTCAATCGCATTACATAAAGTGGAATTTGCCAGCGGATTGGGTGTAAAAGCCGGTGATGAATGATTTATAGACTCGGGGGCGGTTTCACGCTACAAGTCATTGGTTTACAGTTTTTCTTCAGCTTTAATTTGGGAAAAAAATAAAAAAGTCAGATGCGCACGTGTCAAGGTGATTTTCTCATGCGTTGTTGTTGTGAAAATTCCTGGGAAAAAGTTCTAAGTAGCGGACCTCTCTATTAGTCTAAAAACAGATCTGAGTTGCGTATCGACCGTAGATTCGAAATGAGGAAGAATTGACCCTCGTTTGAGCGATTTTTAATTTTTTCATTTTTGGACAATTTTTCACTTGAAAAATTTTCTAAAAAAATTCACCACTCTCGCAATAATGGGAATTTCCGGGA